TTCTGGAATTCTTGTCACTGCATACTGCACTTACAACTTGTTTTTTTTATCGTATTGAGTTATGTAAACTCACTTCTCATCATTCACAGGTGGAGTAAGAACGGAGTCGGGATCTGAGCGGCTGGTAATGGAGCCCCGTCGGTAGTGCCATAGGGCACAAGTTTTGTTTGTGATTTAAAGTTATTTTGAAAGGGTGTTTTAGTATGGGTATTGAACTTCTAGAAAGGTTAATAATGTGCTACTATGTGTTGTAGAGGTGGATATGTATGTGCAATTGATTTGGAGCAATGAATGTGGACAAGTTTCTCTTATGCATGGTTGGAATGATATGAGATTTGTATGTTGAGTCGTATGAGTGCTTTATCTTATACCGTTAGAAAAAAAAAACGGGGTGTTACAGATTCTACCTCTCATGTGGCCTCTTTCTGCATGTGATTCTACCATAGACCTTGATGAAGAGAAATTTTTTGTTGTAGAGTACTCTGCTTTTTTATCTACAATGCCCACTAGTACCTCTTCATATAATAGATCCTCATGGAGTGAAGGGAGCTCGTGGAACAAGATATGTGAGGGGTCCGAGTTGTATTTGCATAGCACGAACACATGAAATACATTATAAACTCTGAATAACTCTGGAGGTAGTATCACTCTGTAGGTGACCATATCAATTATGTCTAAAATCTTAAATGGCTCAATGAATCAAATATTTAATTTTTTTCTCTTGCCAAACCTACTGATTCCCTTAAAAATGGTGGCCTTGAAAAATACTCGATCACCTTTCTCAAATTTAAAATCTCTCATTTGGGTGTTCGCATAACTCTTCTGTCTGCTATGAACCATCTGGATGTTCTTCATGATCTTAATTATCTTGGTTGTAATCTCTTCTATAAGATTTGAGCCGAACAATTTTATATCACTCATCTCTTCCCAATAGATCGACGATCTGCATGGATGACCATACAATACATTGTACAGGCTATGTCGATACTTGCCTGATAGCTGTTATTATAAGTGAACTCTATTAAAGGTAAGTGATCATCCCAATGGCTCATGAAGTCTATAACACAAGTTCGGAGCATATTCTCCAGTGTGCGAATCATCCTATTTGATTGTCCATTAGTATGATAGTAGAATGCAATATTAAGATAAAATTTCGTTCTCATAATATGTGAGACGAAAAACAGAAAGGGGCTAATCGGAGGGGCTTTAGGGTTTCGGTCGCGGCGGCTTCGCTGGACTTTATCTGTAGTTTTTGACTCACTTATTGTCCCTTTTTGCTCTGATATGGTTATAGGGATACTCAGAATCGAATTCCTAGCAGGTAGGAAAGAATTTTATCTTTATTGGCAGTCGGCGGTGGCTCTGGTGCGGCGGCGACCAGGGATCGATCTCCTTATCCGGCTGCTGGTTCTTTTTCTCCAGTGAGGGTAAGTGCGGCTAGGGTTAGGGTTCTCCTGCGACGCGATATTTAAATACCTATCCTACGTCGATCTGAGTCGTCCGTTCGCGTCGACGTGGAGCGAGGAGGGTCGTCCAATCATTGCCTATTTAGGCTGATTACGTGGACGAATCTAAACTGTTCATCACAGTTGATCTCGTCCGTCCGATCGTGCCTAAAGATGAAATGCATCTGAGTCGTTCACTCGCGCGGGATTAAATTTGGGTCGTCAGATCGCTGGGCACGCGGATCACCTGCATGGCGCCGATGTCAGGGTGTTATGCCACGCGGTTCGCTTTGGTTCGTCGTGGTTGTTGACTGGGTCATTCTACGTGGCCGAATTTCTCTTTTTTGCATTTTAATATCTATATTTCTAATTTTTCTTTCAAAAACATCATTCGAACTTAAAGTTTCACTCATCTTCTTCAAAATTTCTTTCAATTTCGTTTATAACTTATTTTTCTTAAAAAATTAAATTAATATATTAAATTATTTATATATACAAAAATTTATTCCGGACCATATTCTGCGCTCAAGTATTGCATTATAGAAATATCTTTAACTTTTTTCTATTTAAAAATGAAATAAAAATAAATATTTAAAATAAATAAAAAATATTAGAGATTATAACAAGTATAAAATTTCAAAAACTAAATATCTATTTAAAAATAAAAATTAAAAAGAAAAATTAATCCAGCAGTAATGATAAAAAAAAAAAATACTAAAAAAACGTAATTAATTTGAGTGTTGTTTGCTCCACCTACCAACTAATAATTTAATAACATGTAAATAATTAATAACAGTCAACGTGTGTTTATTAGGAGTAGTGCGAGCATGTGCGTAGCCAAACCTAATCATGTAGTATACGTTTGTAAAACACCATGATATTCAACCAATTAGATCGGTAATCAAATCTGTATGTACTTAATTATAAAGAATCATTTTGGTCACGTATGCAAATCTATATATATTAGCCATAATTGTTAGTTTAAGGAGTAATTAATTTTTATTTAATGTTTCTAAATTAATTCACATCAAATATGTAAAATACAAATAATTATTGACAAATTAAAACCAATAAACTGAAAGATAATTGAGTCATGGGACCAAATTCAAATTTTTTTTTAAAAGTATTATTTTATTGAACCGTGAAAATTTTTATATCAATATGAAAAAAAATATATTAGTAAACGAAGAACACTCGAACCCCTAAAATTAATTTTTTTTAAAAAGTAAATAAATTATTGAGTTTTTTTTTTGCTCATAAAGAAATTAATTTAGTTTGAAAATAAAGACATGGTAGCTTCAATTTGAAACAAAAGCAAAGTAAATGGCAACAAAAGGCACCCAGTTAGTTCCTGACCACTACTCACTAACTCCCTAGTTGTTTTCATCTGTAACATAAGTTTTATTTATATTGTATTATAATTAATATATATATAATAATTAATAATTTATTTATATTATTTTTGTTTTTCTTATAAAATTTATGCGGTTATGATATTTTATAGTATTTTTAATCTATACATATAAAATTATAACTACAACTCATATTCAAATCGTTTAGAGAAATACGATCGAATTAAATTTTGAATCGTGAATCAGGATTTCGCTGTTAGGAGAAGAATAAGAGCGAAATTCTTAGCTGTATGGAACTGTAAAAGCATAACTAAATCATCAAGGCTGCCGGCCTCTTTTTTTCTTTTAATTTTTTTTTTATTTTTTATAAAAAAAGGTGAAAATAAATTCATGAAATGTCTTAACAATATGAATTGTATCAGTTGGTTTGCTCCTTTTTTGTTGGGTGCCCTACAAAACAACATGTTCTTATCCATTTCAAGAAATTTCACATGATTTACATTTAGATATATATATTTATTAGGTTGCAAGTAGCAATGACCAAGTTTAATTTAACATTCTTACCCTTTAATTCTGCATTAAAATATATTTCTTTTTGGGCGTATTCCCAATAAATATATTGAAATAACTAGAAAAATCTAATTTCTTACCCAATAAAAAAAAATGTAATTATTCCTCTTAAGGTATTTTATTTTAGAGCCATCAATAATTTACAAAAAAAAAAAAAAGGAAAAAGTTCACGTGGATAAATCATATTCCGAAATCACTTGACCAAGTTGGTCTCATCCGAATCATTAAAATAAATTTAATCAAATATTATAATTTATTTTTCTCCTTTTATGACTTGAACCCCAAGAGTGCGGATCTTGGCAAGTGGCTGGTCCCCGAATCATGTCTCTATCTCACTGACTCAGTCACCAATCAATCATCAATTTTACTCCTTGCCCCACTAATAATATATACACACACGTCTATATATTAAGAATTTGGAAATAATCGGCACGTATTTATTCTAAAAATTATATTTATTACTTCAAAAATAATATATCATACATTATAATTATAATCAAATCTTAAATTTTTTTTATGGCATGGTAAAAATGAGTTTTAGACTCCATTATTTAACTATATTACAAGTTAAATGTATTATTATTTTATTTTGGTGGTGACAATTCAGTGTATATAGTAACTTACTTTCTATTTTAGATAATAATCTGTTAACTTTTTTAAAATCTATGTACTTAAATTTTTAAATATGAAATTTATAAAAAAACAAAAATAATTTATAAAATCAAATCAGTGAAATTATATGTTATTTGAATTTTTTTTATTTTTTATTTTAAAAAAGTCAGTTATTAAGCATATAGAAATAAAATTGCATCACCCTCTTTCTAAAAGTACCAAAGGCCCACAAGTTATTTTCGACTGCAACAGTATTGGGCCTTATTTGAACAGGCTCTTAAATATCAAAATCTCCTAATAAACCAAACGACACCGTTTTTATGAGGTTCTTAATTTATTTTTACCTCTTACGAATACTCTATTTGTAAAAATGCCCCAACTTACTAAAATCACGTGCAAAATCATCGATTCCCGATTTTCATGACAGAAAAAAGAATAATAATTTATTTAACTGGATATATATATTTCTTCTCACTTGATTATAATCATAGCGAACCAGAGACTATATCAAAGATTCGATTATATAATATTTTTCTGCAACCGAATTCTCTCTCTAAAGCAACCAATGAGACATCTTTGTCCCAGCTTTCTTCTCCGTTATGGTATCCAAGCTTGGTTTCCATCCTTTCCCTGAAATCTGCCTACTCAAGTACTCCGGTATCCCCTCTATATTTTCCGGCATAAACTCCGGCAAACACCTTACCACCTCCACTGCCGGTGGCCTCTCCTCATCACTTTCCACCCGCACTCTCCCTTTTCCACCCATGTTCTTCCCCGCAGCACCTCCAGAAGCGCAAATATTCCCAGCAAACAAAGCAAGAAGCAGCTTTGACGACGATAAACCCATAGCCGACGTCTTCAATGCTGCCTTCACGTCGAAAAGAATCCGACGAGCTTCTTCGGCCGTCAATGCCGCCGGTTTTCCCTGCTTAATCGGCAGCATTAGGTAGACTTTGTTCTTGTCCAGCTTCTTGTCCGCGGGTAATGGAGTTGGCCGCCGTTTCTCGATAGCTGCAGAATGGAGCTCCACCACCACCTGCTGCGGGTGCTCCAGCATTAGCTCCGCCGCCGTCACAGGCTCCTCGAACTCCTGCAGAGTGCCGTCCAATAGGATGACCCTGCCAGTGGTCTTTGCAGATGGACGGTATCTGATGTAGTTTCCCATGACTTGTTTTGATTAATCCGACTTAAATTCGGGTTAGTTATATAATTCTGTGTGTTGGGGAAGGTGGATTTCGTTAAACGGCTCCATGTTGTTGAAGCTTTATTAATGACGGACTCTGGTGGCACTGATTGGTGATGGTAGTAAAATATTATACGTTAAAGAAGATGGGGTTGTTGGGTTTTGATCCGGTCGTCAATTTTTTGACTTGTTCGTATGTAGGAGACTGATCTGACGGTGGGAAATGGTTTGGAGACGTGTGGGGTCCATGCGTGAAAGAGAAGTCAAACCGGAACGGTTCAACTGTAACTGTATTAACTACTACTAAAAAATATTTTTCTTTTTTTTAAATTATCAGCCCTGTCATTTTTAATATTTTGTTTTTTATTTTCGCTTGGAAGTTGCAGTAAAATTGGATTTGGTAGGTAAGAAGCACTTGACGATGGGGATGAAAAATATTGATAGTTATATTTCATAATTTAATAATATTGATTATTAAACTAAAATTGGAAACAATATTGTGATTGGTAATCAACCGTAATTTACACATTATTAATTAAATAATATTTCTCATATATTCTCAATATTAATAAATAAATAACAAAAAATACAATTTTCAAATTATATATAAACTTAATTTAAATTAAAATATTTCTTTCCTAAATTATATTCATATCGAATAAAATTTTAAATTAAATTAAATTCACCTGCATTTTCGAAATGAGTCATAACATAACTTATCACTTCAAATGATCCTACACTTTATACTCAAAATTGGAAACGTAAAGTAGATAATAATGATTCAAATTAAATTGGGTAAATTCCTAAAAAGGGTTATCAATAATATCACGCAATACTTATTAATAATGGGTGGGTAGGAATTTAGTTTTAATTTTATAATATTAATTACTTTGGTTTTAAAAAATAAAGTTTAAAAAGTTAAAATCGTAGTTAAAGGTTTAATCAAATTGTATTTATGAGTCTTTTTAAAATTTATGTATTCTATTTTCAATTTGTTGTGGGAAGTTATAACTACTACATATACAAAAATATACATGTATATATATATATATTTAAAAGTAAAATAGCTCTTGAATTATTTAATATTATGATGCTAATTACCGAATTAGTACGCCAAGTACTTTTCATATAATAAAACAGGCTACTGAATTAAATTGAATTCAGATTCGACCTCCTGTTTATATCATCATAATAGAAAATAAAGCAATTTGAGGTGTAAACACTTTAAATTTTAAAATTAATTTACACAAAATTCTTCATCATTCATTAATCGGCTCCAAAACTGGATTCCACGATCGTAAGTTTCTCAACCGGCAACCGGGAAATCCCGAATCATTCGCGCCCAAAACAGTACCTTCAAAACCCTGTATTTCCTCCGTCAATTCTTCCGGCGCAGCCGGTAAAACCTTGGCCCCACTTCGCTTCTTCTTACTCTTCGTCTTCTTCCTCGCGCAAGCGGCCTCCGCGACGGCCATTTCCGCCTCACTCATCTTAGAGTTGACCCGACCAACTGGGACAAGCAAATAGATTTTACCCGCTAGAAGCTCATCGTCGGCTCGCATGGCAGATACCCGGCGAGTTAACCGGAGTTGCTCCGCTGGAGAAATAACGTGGCCGGGCTCGTCTAGCATGAGCTCGGCGGCTTTAATGGGTAGCTGTACTTGTCTGAGGTTTCCCTGGGTGTCAATAAGTTTTGCTGTTTTCTTGGTTCTCGAGTCGTGCACGAAGCAGCCGGTCGAAGTGAAATTCCCCATGTCTATATCTTCTTTCTCTCCCGTGAGTAGAGCTTTGAGTTGATCTGATCAGCCTATCAAAGCAGGATTCTTTAGCTGAGGTTACGTGTTATGTAATGATGAGAAGGAGTTCTTAGCTTGTGGGTAGCGACTGATGGAGTTGTGTCTGTGTGTGTGTCGAAGTGTTTATGTATGTATATATATACACACACACACGCGCGCGCACATGCTTATTAGAGATGCAGCTGGCGGAAGAGTCAAAAGGTCAAAGGTAAAAGGGTAAAAAGAAGAGTGTGTTGACAGGATTTGTGGACGTCGTGTGTTAACGGAGTTTGCAAAGTGTTAGAAACGCGGATATTTAGTAGGTCGTCTTGTGAAAAAAAAAAAAACTTATCCATTCGTTAGGGGTCTTTTAACCTTAAATTTATCGGTTCCAAATGTTGTTTATTGGTCTAATATTATTGTTTGAAAGTGGTGTGCCGTCAATAGTTTCCTTTCATGTTGTTTAGACATTAAGAATGTGCCAATAATTAATAAAATAATAATTTATTATTTTATTAATTAAAAATTTTGTGTTCTTAAATTTTAATCTTATTAAAAAATATATAATTCTTTATTCTACAACATATAATAAATTATTCAATTCAATTCAAATAATATAAGTTATTAAATTATGTTAAGTTTTAATAAATTTTTTTGTCTAACAACGATTAATATATAATATTTAATTTAATTAGATCGATAATTTAAGTTAAATAATATATTAAAAAAATTACTATATTTAAAATGAATTAAATTTCAATATATATATATTTTTTTTATATAGAGTTAAAGTAACAACCTATAATATTTAAGTTAAATAATATATTGGTAGGAGTAGAGTGACTTTAATGTAGTTGTGAAAAAAGTATATATATATATTATTTCAAAGTGATTGATGATATTATGACGATTGTGGTTGTGGATCACCGGGCGACTACTACACGTGGAAGCGCACCATAATATCTTTTTTTGAATGGAGTCGAAGCGTGAAACGACTTTTGAACTTCCACATGAAATGCTTCCACTTGTCATCATCTCGTGTATGGAATAATATTTATATATACCTACGCGCGTGATATGGAATATTCTAGAAGGTGCAATATACACGTAGTCAATAAATACTATTTTTGAAGAATTGAAAAAGCTAAGGTTAACATTTATTATACAAAAATGTTTTTTATTTTTTAAATTTATATATTTTTATACATATTTTAAAACGTTCAAAATAATGTTTAAAAAAAATACTAAAAATAGACAGTCTATCCTTAACTTTTTTTAGATTTTTATTTTTGTATCTAACTAATTTATTTAATTATTATTTATATATTTTCTTAATATTAACAGTTGTATACAAAATAAATACATGTTATAAAATACTATTAAAAAAAAAATTCAAGATCTATTTATGTTAATATTAAAAAAAATTATATAATTGAAAATACATATAAAAAAAAAAGACCTACAATATACTATGCTCATAAATATTGAGTTGCTCCGGAAAATTAAATGTACGTACAAGTACCAACCAGTTACAATTTTTATTATTTCAAGATGTTTTTTGTTTAAAAATAAATAATGCATTCATTCATCAACTAAATAATATATATATATATATTAATCATAACACTAATATGTATAATTTTTAAATGATAACACATATAAGAACACAGTTAAACTGAAATTTATCATCTTTTATAAAATAAAGAATATACAAACTAAAATAATTTAACAATGATATATAGTAACATAGCCCGACAATTCGATTGCAATCTTCAATGTATGTTAATTATGTTAAATAGTGGTTTATAATGAAAAAAAAAAGTTTGAATCAATGCAATTCTTAAGTTCTTCACCAGTAACGAACAGAGCATTTATCAATTATCAGCCAAAGTGCTAACTATTATATACAGCAAACAATGCGAGTATATATGTTTATACAAAACACACACTTTATTTCCACTACTTTATATTTCACATTGCCCTATTGCATACACCAACCAAAATACACACCACCTGGCTGCTAAACCATATAGGAGACTATATGTAGCAAGCTATGAAATTTATGAACAAATTACTACTGCCACGAGGAAATTTTATGGAGCACTGACATCCATACAACCTGCAACACAGATGCAAAACACGGAGACATCATATCTAAGGAGCCCCCCCCAAGAAGAGCCCAGAACAAACAGCAGGATATTAACAGCGGCTTCACCATGCCACCGGACAAGGTAGGTTTCGTGGTGGAAATCCAGGATTTCATGATATGCCTTCTGATAAGCAACCACCAGACTACTCCTCTATTTGATGTACTGAGAGAGCCACTTGAAGCCATCACCGTAACCCATTTTGCGAACAATGCTGCACATAAATACTTCTAATGGACGGATGTTTGTACCTGCAAGATTTATGTTACCCTTGCCTGTGGTGAAATTGGTCAGGCCAAAATGATATCGTAACTCATCTTCTGAGGCAGCATATGGTATGTCAATCTTGTTTCCTAAAATAAGAAACGGGGCATTGGCTAGAGACTCATCAGAAAGGAGGGCGTCCAATTCTTTTTTTGATTCTGGAAACCTTTCTTTGTCATATGCATCCACCAGGTATATCACCGCATCCACCTGCAATACAGCAAGCATGGAGGGAGTGTAACACTTGAAGAGATGTGAAAGTGAAAATTATAATATTCAACAATCAAATCTGAGAAAGACACCTCAGAAGCAATGAAGAGACTGGAAAACCAGCGGTAGCAAACAAAGCTCCTTTCTTTTTCTTGACCAAGAAACGTCAAGGGAAGAAATGTTTGGGAGAAGGGAAGGGGGAGCAGAAGGTGATAAGCCATTTCCTAGTCTCATTGTGATATCCTAGTTTGGTTCAAATTAAAATATAATCTAATTTTATTCAACATTTTGTTGGCTACAAAACTGTGCCAACCAGCCTACTATGATCTTCAACTAAAGCATCACGGCAACCTTATGATGTAATTACAGGTTCAATAGCACCATAAATAGCTCACTCTACAACTGCAATAGAGTGGAACCTGAATGCTTACTCCTTATGGCACGCCAAGGTCAGAATATAAGGCATGGAAAGGTTGGTCAAACAGTGAAGAAGGTGCATTTGCAGTTAGACATCAATGGCATAGCTCACAGATTGTCAAGGCCAGAACCCAACACCTTCACAGCTGATTACATCCAACAGTAATCCATCAACAAAAGATGGTAACTTGTCTTCGTATATTTCGACTTGATCTAAATTTGACCATTTGAACCATATTCTACCTTCGTAAATATGGAGAGAGCAAGGATAGGTGGAAAACACACCAAATATATACAGGAGAATTGTTGTACTTCAAAATCAAATTTCTCAAAGTTACAAGAAATTATTCCATGGAGGATAAAACCACCAAAAGAACAACCAGAGAAGGACAAGGGAAAAAAGAAATTTTTATGGGGTCATGCCATATCGTTTTTTGAGATTTTTCGTGATAAATGCAGAACATGTTGCATGCTGGCTGTTCACAAAACAAGACCACGTATTTGAATGTGAAAACATATTGCACACTTGAAGCTAGACTAAAAACCTTGGCTAAACAGATACAGATGACTAGGTCAAATGGTACATACTGTTAGGTCCCTGTCAGAGCGTGGAATGGTAAGTAGTTTTTCTGCTTTTGGTGAGAAAGAACCAAGAAGAGTTTTTATAAAATTGATCTGCTTTATTGATGAAGTTGCGGTGCCTTTAAATAGAGTTCTTACAACTGAAATTTCCTACTTCTACATTGCTGGATAAGAATTAAGGATACATGGAAATCAAAGAACAAATCAGAAAATTGCTGAAAATTGATAGAGGGAGAGTGGATCGCGGGATTTGGGTTGAACAGTTCTAGAGGCTGTTCTGTTTTGCTGCAGATTCTGAGTTGATCGGGTTGGCGGTTATCAGTCCAGATACTTCAGATTCTTGGTGGGAATCCGTCGAGATCTTCGGGGCTTACTATTACTCCCCTCTTGCAATTCTTTCGAGTCTTCCCAGGTTGCATCTTCTGCCGGAAGGTGTTTCCATTTCACCAAGTTTTCTTCTATAAATTGGGACCCTTTTTTGAGCCAGCGTGTGTCCAGGATTGCTTCCGGTTGGAGGATGATTCTCCCTTCTTCTGTGGTAGTTGGCAGATCCTTAATGGGGAGGACTGAGCTGCCAATTTTCTTTTTGAGAAGAGATACGTGGAAAACCGAATGAATGCGTGATTCTTGGGGGAGCTTGAGTTTGTATGCTACTGAGCCAATTTTTTCCTCGATCTGATAAGGTCCAAAATAGCAACAAGCGAGCTTTTGGAGGGCTCTTTTGAAGACCATTTGCTGTCGATAAGGTTGCAGCTGGAGGAAAACCCAATCACCAACCTGGAAATCCACATGGTGTCTCTTGATATTTGCTGTTTGCTGCATGCGGTTGTTGGCTACGTGTAAGTTGGCCTTGAGCTGATGGAGTAGTTCATCTCTAGCTGTTAATTGCTGATCAACTTTGTTTACGGCTGTTAGCCCTCCGACATAGCAAGGAATAGTCGGCAGTGGTCGGCCATAGAGAGCTTGGAAGGAAGTCGTTCCGATGGATGAGTGGTAGGTGGTATTGTACCAGAATTATGCCCATGAAAGGATGGCGTTCCACTTGTTGGGCTGCTGATGGGCGAGACATCTAAGGTACTGTTTTCCACATCTGTTAACGAACTCTTATTGTCCATCCGTTTGGGGATGGTAAGAGGAGCTCACTTTGAGTTCTGTACCTGATAGTTTGAAGAATTCATTCCAAAAATGACCGATAAAAATAGGGTTTTGGTCACTTACAATGGAGCGTGGCATGCCGTGCAATTTGACTACTCACTCAACAAACTTTTCTGCTACTCCTTTGGCCGAGTAGGGATGAACTAGGGCCATGAAATGAACTGATTTGCTGAGGCGATCTAACACTACTAGAATTAGTAGACATTATATAAAATCCATGGTAATCTCATCCCATACATGACAGGAGATAAGTAGAGGT